TAGTATTTTATTAACATTTTGTAAAGAAGATTGTTCTATTCATCCATTCATTCATAAAAAGAGTGATACCAGAAGATTTCGGTGGTATGTGAGTATGAACTGCTAAAGAATGAAACAATTGTCCAATATTCTTTGGTTTTCAACGATACTCTAAATGAGATCAATCTGTGGTTAATACTATCTACTAATATGTATTCATTTTAAAACGCTTATACTAATGCATTCAATCAAGGTGATTTATATAAAATAAAAATGTGATGAAAAACTCTATTTTAATAGTTGAATTGATGAGTCGATTTAAGCGAGATCACCATTGGAAGGCACTAGGTTCGAATCCTACATGCAGGATCGTAGTTGCGTATTATTGAGGTGTCTCATACTAGGATGAAACAGCCATTCAATGCCCACAGGGCTTCTAATGGTGTTTTAACTTAAATCGACTCATGAATTCAAATATTAGAAAAAAAACTTTATATCGGAACTTAAACATTCTTACTTTGATGTGGATCTATCTAAAAGGTTAAAATTGAACTAAATATAAGGATAGACTTATCCTTTTGACACTGATTAACATTTATGTTCTATTGCAAATTAAATACAGTTGAATTAAATATGGATAATTGAACTTTTATCTATAATTATCACACTTTTGTGAAAGTGTTAAGCGTAATCATCAATCATTAAACTAATGTATGAAACAATAATAACAAAAAACAAGTTAATTAGAATTGTTTGTTTATTTTCGCCTTCTTAGCTTTCGATTATCTTATTAGCAATGTTACTTTATAATGGAATCATATATGACAATTCTAGTCTATGAATCTATTATATTTAATGTGTTTATCAGTTACATTATGTCATCGAATTTATTGTGTATATATATTCATAATTGTGTGTACAATTGTGTTGTATATTCATGAAACAATGTATATTCTAAATAAGAACTTTCGTCTAAATTTGATCAAATAGTTTCACAGTATTTGGGCGCCGAGTTGATGTGAGACATTAAAGAGGAAGAATGTATTTGTAAAATCTCAGCGAATGAATTTTGAAGTAAATCTACCGTTTCTCCTGACAATCTGGTTCAAGCATTTTCAAGGAAATATAAGAAATGTATATTCTGTTGATTTATTAGTGTTCCTACGTATATATTTATTTGTGTGTGCGTGTGTGCGAATACGTCCAGTGCCCTACTGCTAGTTATAATCCATCACTGCTTATAGTGTTTGTCCTAATTCGGGAATTCTAACCAGTTTATATTTACACTCCTGCACTCGAGTAGACCTAGGATATTCAGGTCTTGTGATGAGCATCATACCACTTATTCACTGAGTTCCATTCAGATTGTGTATTATTTTTCAAACTATTGTATCCTTCACTTTCATTGTTGTATAATCATTTCACTATTTAAATGTATAGTTCTATATGTTATATCTGTGTAGAGGTGGCTGGAAATTGGAGCTTATAGATTTTGACTAACAGGTAACAACCTTGAGCCTCAATCTGTCTATTATAGTTAAAATAGATAGGATGGCATCATTGGCTGTCACGGATAAAGAATGCCTTGAAATCAAGCACGCTGATGTTTTTTGTCTCTTGATATGATCATCTTAAGGTTTATGGACCGTTGTGTTCTTTACATTTACGCCCTCGATCAATGAAAATAACATAAGCTAAGATTAATCTAACTTTATATAGAAATGATGAAGATTTAAATGAATAGTCATACTCAAGGTGCAATAGTAACATAGTACAAATTTTCTGTTTTCCTTAAAGTGGGTAAATGTAACAGCTAATTTAAATATTAAGTTGGATGCAATCAATAGGACAAATGATTATGCATCAGTATATTGTTATTAATTGAGGAGGATATAACATAATATAGTACAGTCCGAATTGTATTAAATAAAAGCTATTCGTTTACCTATGGATATGTATTTTAAAAAGTCTGAATGAATGTATGATTGTAATGTGGATTAACTGTCGGGAAGGCTGAATTTATTTTTTTATAGTCCCATTTTCATTATGTAAATAATATACACATGAGTACAGAATAGTAATTTGGCATAATTAAACTATGCTGTCATACTAAAAGAACTTATAAATATTATTTTACGACTATTTCTGAATTAAGTTATCGATCTAATCTCTTTGTATTTATAATGACTTGGATAAAAAGATAGGAAGTGTAGGAAATAAAGGGAATTAGCTTCACAAACATGTTCAGAATGAAATAAGAACACTTTAATATATGAAGTTAGTTCTCATCAAAGATCTAAATCAACTTACAAATAACCAACAACTAAGAAAAACAACTGATGGTTATTTCATCCGAGTTTGAGATTTCTCAACAGTGAACACCATCTTATAAGGTACATGAATTCATGTTACAATCTTTTATTGTTCATTATTTTGGGAAAAACAAGTGTAATATCACGATTCAGTTGTTATAAAATAATTCGATATTTTGAGTTTCTATATTATGAACTGGAATCGAAAAGAACAACTATTGAAAACCACGAAGTAGTTGATGGATGTTTCGTCTCAGTATGAGACTGCTAAATAGTGAACAACAATGACTCTATTATGTATCAAGAAGAGGATCTTACAGTTTAATAACGAGTGCTTAATTTTCGGAACATAGAGATATTATTCAATGGTTTACATTTGTAAATCCAACTAATTCGTGAAATGACGCAACTATAATTCAACATTACTTTTTACATTACACTACTATATTAAGTAGTTAAATCGATGAATTTCTGATTATGTAGTTTCAGACAACTTCAAAATGTATGCATTATACTTTAGTTTAAGCATTTGAACATGAATAAAAAGCTCTCATATACAAAAAACGAAGTATAACTCAAGGTTAAATGAACCACCATTGTACTTGTGAAATTGAGTCATGTTAAATTAGTTTTACGATTCTTGATAGAAGAAAACATTTTTCTACTTGGTTAAATCCTTTAACCGTATAATAATCACCTTTACTATTCAAATAATATTATTTTAGACATGAATGGATTATAACATAATATTCTCTTTATGTAAAACTTTTTTAGGGATTGAAAAGTCTATTTATCATAACATATCCACCATATATACAATCAATTGTACTTCTCCATTTCAAATGTATGCAGTTATGATTCACATTTTTGTAACCCATGATTAAGCTTAAAAAATTAGATGATATAAAAACTACTCTAAAAATTTGTATGCAATATATCAGTTTTATTAAAATGAATTTTCTTCAAGTGTTAGATTTTATCAGAAGGGGGTTTGTGGGGATTTTGGTAATTTTATAGTTGAGATCATGAGTCAATTGAAGCTAGACCACCATTGAAAACCTGGAAACACTAGACGACCGTTTCGTTCTATTGTGGGACTCCTCAGCAGTATGCATTCACGATCCTACATCGTGAGATTCGAACCCAGGACCTGTCGGTTTCACGAGCAAACGCTTAACCTCTAGACCACTGAGCCGACATCCAACAGTGTTAATATCAAACTCAACTAATTCACGAAATTGAGCGACACATCCATTATTGTCCTCAGTGAGTTACTATCTCACAACAGACCCGATTGGACTTCACTGGTATTTATTTAATGAATTCTAACGACTTAGAGTTTGTTCAGTTTCACTATAAAAATAAATAATTAATCAACTTCTATTTTTGATTTGTACTGTAGAGATTAGTTCAAATAGAAGAGGTCGTCATTAAGAAAGTGAACATAATGTAGTTTCCTTGATTGTTTTCCATTCATAATGAAAATTATTTCCAAAAAAATATTTTAAATTGTTTATATAAATATAAAAAATTAAATGGAATGTAAGCAGTGATGGGTAGTGGCTAGCAATTGAGACTCGTTAGCTGGATGTACCTGCATCTCAGTTTTGATGTTCACTCCGAGACTCCAACCCAGTATCGTTCACTTCAAACGTCATGTCCTTATCCACTTAACTACTGAGTCCTGATAGCCACTTGCTTGTGCAATGGGGTGAAGTTAAATTCACTTGGTATTGTTTGGCTTGTATCTTCCCATTGAGGTTTAAGACCGAAATTGATCAGTTTGTTATTGCAGTCTTAAACCTCAATGGGAAGATACAAGCCAAACAATACCAAGTGAATGAAATGGAATGTCTTAGAATTTTCCATAGTTACATGAAAGTGAATAAAATATTCATTTGATATAATCATATATAAATATTTATTTAATTAAATAAAGAAAGAATAATACGAGAGTTTACGTAATATGCACATATGGAAATTTTCGTAGATATAATGGAATATTGTTAATTCGAGTATAAAGATCAGTCAATTCAATCGTAATTATTACTACGGAGGTTCTATGGCTATTGTTAAATTACATAGCTTGCATTATGAACTCTTTTTTTTATAAGAAAATGCTTAGAATCTAAGAAACATCGAACAACTGTTTTGCCCTAATATGAGATTACCTAAAATAAATCAAATCCACAAACCACAAAGTGTTGGATCGAGAAACGTTAACCCTTAAATAACTGAGTTAAAATACAACGAGAATTCATTTAAATGACTTTATTTAACTACTTATCATATAAAATTACTGTACTTTCACTGGTTGAAATTATGAGTCAATTGAAGCTAGATAACCATGGAAAACCTAGAAGCTTTGGATGGCCGTTTCGTCCTAGCTTGGAACTCCCCATCAGTGCGCATCAACGATCCTGCCCCTTCCCGCGAGATTCGAGACCAGAACCTATCAGTCTCGCGCCAGGCGCTTAACCAACTAGACCACTGAGTCGGTATAGAACGGTATTAATATCTAATTTCAATCAATCCACGAAGTTGCACCACCATACACCATTGTAAGCTAAATAATTCTAACATTTTCAATGTTTAATAAATCTTAACAATTGTATATACTCAAAATTATATGGAAATATTGTGTTACCACAACCATTCCATTATTCAGTATTTAATCGTACATCTATATAAACAAAATATTACTCATACCCATTTTATTCTCTTGATTCGAAAAATCAGCTTCATACTTAATAGCCAATGCAGTCATCATATGTAATTGTTGTTTATTATTGCGTAATTGTTTTATTATGATGAATGTATAAACATTTAACTGTATTTTCTATATATTTATATATATCTGTGTATACCTTTTAAAGTATATACATAAAATAAGTAAATTTACTATGAATGTTCATCAATTCAATTCATAGATATATATCTATGTATAAGTAATTATATTCTCCACTACTTTATAATTGTTTACAATTAGTTAATTCAATGTTGAATAATCGATTGAAGATCCCCAATGTACATCCATATATATGTACAATTATACCAATAATAGATATCGTTTCTTTTTAAATCACTGTTTTCTAGATTCAAATAATTGAGAATATTGAAATTATTAGATAAAAGAATTGTAATTGTGATAATCTGTGTATTAAATAATTTGATTATAAACCAGTATCTATAAGAATAATATCGATAATGGATGTATGAATTGAAATAAACTAGTCAAAGTAATGTCAGTGAACACAAAGACTCTTCATTTATTTTCATTCCCCTTATATTGTAGGTATTTTTTTCTCTCACTAGTTTTTTTTCTTCTTCCTCTCTCTCTCTCTTTAGATTTCTAAAGAAAATCATCATAATCATAATATGCTATTTTATACAAACGAACAAATGCGCTTATTTACAACTATCTTCATAACAGGAATTCCTAAGAATCAACCAATTAGAGTATAGAAAACGCGTGATTCTACCTGACCAGTTTTATGACTGGTCAAATCGAATGAAACGGCAGAAAGACAGCCGAACCAATGGAACGTAATTTAATGATTATTGTGAATAATATGGATATGCATGTTGGTATGTGTATGATGATACACTATTGATGTCAATAATATTAGAAAATCTATGTCCTTCTGTTCGCCTTTTTTTTTTACTAAAAAAGCAAATGACAATTCATGAAGATGAAAAAAAGTTGGAAAAAAAACAACAAAAAACTTGGTCTGGTTTTACTTTTTCTTTCTCTGTCTCTACCCATCTCTCTATCTCACTCTGTATAATTCTGTATAGAAGAAAGGAATTTTGCAAAGGAAAAGGGTATGAAAATTCTTGTGGGTCAGACCAACAATCGAAATTGTGGAGAAGTGTATGCTAATAATTAATGTTTCCTCATAAAAGAGAATAAAAGAGATTTAACAGTAGAACTGCTATTAATACTATTAATATTAATATTATTACTGCTGTCGTCCTAAGACTATTAGTCTACACCTGAGCTCGCTTGTATACACATACACACATAACATTTGGTAATACTTACACCCTCATATATAAACGTAGATAATCTCAAACGCTAGAACAAAGCAAGTATTTATCATTCCCCAAATCGATTTAAATAATGTTTACGATAATTTTCAAAAATATATTGATATAAAGTAGTCAGATGTATTTTTCTGCAAATAGAAGCAGTATTACGAGTGACTCCTATTACCCGAATTGAATTGAATTTACTATAGTAGAATGTGCTGAAATGTATTATGGGAATAGATTTGAATGAAAATAAACGGTGCGTTTAGTTCTTCCTATTTACTTGCAATCTATAGGAGGTCAGTTATCTATAAATGGATCTAAAATTCGCCTTTGTAAATTAAGGTTAGAAATATCAAGGTTATAATTGGCATACTTTCCAATCTCTCAGTACAAGCTCTAAATACAACTCATCACGTAGCAATCAGTTTCAAAATATTTTTTTATGGTAGTCGAAATGAATATCAGGTTTCAAATTGTTGAAACCATTAGACAACAAGCCTTTCGCTATATATTTCAGTTAATTTGATATTCGCCAATAAGATTTATCTGCAATATTGAAAGAACAGATTCTTTTTATGGGATCCAAACCCTCATCACTCACTGTCTAAGTCAGAGAATGAGACCGATCGCCTGCATGTATGGGGTTTTTAGTGTTTAATCAGTGAAAAGTATTCAATGTGATACGTGCTTCCTTATCCGTCAAATAAACCCAAAAAATCACACGACTCCTCCTAAGATCGAACCCAGCTGCTTTAAGCCTCACTACAAGTGTTTGACTTCCGGACCACTGGACTACCAACCGATAGTTCACATTTTTAACTTCATTCAGTTTGCGATAATGTCCGTCCCTCGTTCGATGCCAGTAAAATCTGTTACGAAACAATTGTTTTGGAACTATTCGTATGCCTTTTGGGTCTTCTAGACAAACACAATGATAGCCAGTAAAATGAATCGGCTGTTGAATAAAATCAGATGAATTATCATTAAACAAATACTTATCCTAAACTGAAACAACTGAACAAAGTACTGTTGGAAGTAGTTATTCTTTAAGAAGATACAGATGCGCTTAATTAATTCACATTACTTCCCTTCTCATCCAACCATTTCCACTGACTATTTATATCATAAATGATTTCCTCATTTTTTTCGCTTGACATTATATACAGTCTTGTGAAGTTGGTAGGAAACTCTTTCTGACATAGGTTTTTCGCTGCTTGAATTTGTTAGCAAGACTTGTCAGTAATGTTGGTAGGATTCACGAAACCTGTGTCATCCAGTTTCACGTCATCGGACGTTACCACTGAGCTAATTAGGTTGCAACTGGCATCCTAAAGGAATGAGATATTTAAGATTGATTGATCATTAAACAATTACCATTGTCCTTTATTGTTGTTCGAATTCCATCCATCGTTATTATGTTGAGATTTCACTAATAAGAGACTAGACAAATATAAGACTGGTCACTACTCAGTGACCAACCAATTATATACATCGTTAGATTTGAATGTTAATTGTTAACTGGGAATATGTACATACTAACCAACTATACTGATTCAGTTATTTATATGTACTCTTAATTTCTACATAACCAATTAGTGTTTCTTCATCCTTTTTACAGAAAAAATGTTTAGAACTATTGCTCTTCATATTCAAAATTAATGTAGCCATTCACATTGGCGAACAAAATAATTAAAAGACAATGACACAGAAGGGCATATACTAAAAAAGGAATAGATGATAAATTTCTTTTATATTCGATTAGGTAAATCATTTATTAAACAACGTTGATACCATGTGCTCACTAGTGACTAGCTTTGTGAGGGAATTCACGGAGTTCTAGTAAGAAGCCATGACCAGTGGAGCTAATCCGTGTCGGGTAGAAACAGTTATCTACCTCAGTACAATGGAAGACGGTCGCGCAATTTCGTGGATTGGTTAAAGTCAGACATTAGCACCGTTGGAGGATGGCTCAGTGGTTCAGGGGGTAAGCGTTCGTGCGTGAAATCGAAGGTTTTGGGTTCGAATCCCGCGGGCAGGATCATTGATGCGTACTGCTGAGTAGTCCCACAGGAGAACGAAACATTCGTCCAGTGCTTTCAGGTTTTCAATGGTGGTCTAACATCAATCGATTCATGATCTCAATCAAAAACTTAATAACCTCCACAACCTCATACAGACAAATAACAGTTAAGTTAGATAGCTAATTTACAAACTGCACTTTATTGATTGTGAAATAATTAGGATATGCTTATAAATACTTAAGATATTTTCTCGTACATGGGTATAAATCAATAAATGAATAATCTAACATTATTGATAATAAAACACGATTGGAATTCATCAGTGTATTGATTGTTTGTCTGTATTGTATGAGAACAGATTTTGTATACCGTTTAATTTTAATTTCATAAAGTGAATTAATTATGATAAATGAAAGTTACCAACTTGAACTTTTATTGATCATATAAGTTTTCATCTATCATAAGGATTATATCAGTATAAAAATGATACTGATAAATCTGTCTGCTTTAATAATGAAATGCTAAGAGTTTATTATTATTATTATCATTAGTAGTAGTATTATATGACAGAAAACAAACTAATCTGACATCCTTTGTATAAACTATACATACTAATTATTGTATTATTTACATACATATAGTTAATATTATTCATAAATTACTAATCAAGTATAAAGTTTAAACAGAATTCCTATTCTGATTCGCCTTTTACAGTTCAATATAATTTACAATGGTTTACAATTGAATGAAAAGTTTTTTATACATTAAATATCCAGAGATGAATGTTTACTTGTCGAAATGTAGGGTATACAAATGAATTACATTAAGTTTACTCATATATATATAAGAGATCATATATATTTATACATGTCAGTGTATATTATTAATTATGAGCATGAACTCATTTGATCTGTTTCATATTGTAATTTATGGATCAGACACTAATCATCCATCCTAATGAAAAATGAGTATAAGATTACATTCATTGATATAACCTTAGTGAATCTATTCTATGTATAATTATTTAAAAGCTACTATTATTTCTAATTGCTTGCTTACGCCTGTTACTCTCAATCGAGCATAGGCCGCCAACCAGCATTCTACAACCCACTCTGTCCTGGGCCTTCTTTTCTAGTTCAATCCAATTATTGTTCATTCTTCTCATGTCTATCTCCATTTCTCGGCGTAATATGTTCTTTGGTCTTCCTATCTTCCTGCTTTGGCTTTGAGTATTCCATGTGAGGGCTTGCCTTGTGATGCAGTTGGGTGCTTTCCTCAATGTGTGACCTATCCACTTTCAGTGCTTCTTCGAGATTTCTTCCTCCGTTGAGATCTGGTCTGTTCTCTCCCACAGTAAGTTGTTGCTGATAGTGTCCGGCAAACGGATCCGAAGTATTTTGCGTAGACAGCTGTTAATAAACACTTGTATCTTCTGGATGATAGCTTTCGTGGTTCTCCAGATTTCCACCCCATACAGTAGAACTGTCTTGACATTTGTATTGAAAATTCTGACCTTGGTTTTGGTTGACAGTTGTTTTGAGTTCCAGATGTTCTTCCGTTGTACATATGCTGCTCTTGCTTTGCCGATCAGCAGAAATTATAATCCTTTCAGATATAATTATCTTAGTTCACAAAGGTTAATCTTTCGACAGAAAATAGAAATATCACAATGATTTTTTAGTGGATATTGTAACAATTTCATAGTTCAGTTCAT